TCAAAAAATACTTCTGTTTAGGAATATTGTTTTATATAGTGCAGAAACGTGTTAAAATTTGCATTTGACTTGGTCTTCAACAAGTTGGCATCTATTTGTAAAACTTTCCTGAAATAAAACAAGCCTGCGCCCATATTAATTTCTTCTCTCTTTACAGTAATATTCTTTGAACAAATATATTGAACATTCACAACCCCTTCAGCATTTCATAAATAGTGAACGTTAACCCCATATAAAAACAATTAATTTTTCCTAGAAAAATTATCAGATAGAGAGCGGGCGAAGCCTGCTAGTTTCCCATAAAAAGCGGCTTTTATTTTGTCTGAAGTTTATTAATGCAATATGTAAAGTGTCCGCTATAATTTTATCTATGTTGTCCTTTTTAGCGTATGTTAATTTATATAGATTTTTAAAATCCTTCTTCACAAACATTTCAGCATAACGAGGAATATGCCAACATTCAACTCCCGAAGAAAAAAAGAAAAAAAAAACATTTAAATAAACAAAATTAAAAACAAGGTTAAAACAAAGAGCGTGTGATTTATTTGAAACTCGTTCAAACGATGTAAAGGCCAAGAAATTCGCGTGAGTTTTCCAGTCTCAGCAAAAAACGTGTTTTGCAACGAGAATTAACGGCACCTCACCTTCCTAGCCACAGATTCGAGTGATATTTATTCTCCTCTTTCTAACCTTGTCAACCGCGTTTGCCGGTCTCGCCAAGTCGACAAGGGAAAATATAGCGAGTTAAAATCTAGGTTAACCTACCAGCAAGCTGACAATTAGCCTGATAAGAAACGGCGTCTACAAATATTACATAAGTTCTAAACAACCAAGTCTGAAATCGTACTTGCACATGTAGTCCAGTAGTTATAGCAACGGCATGAAAACAGACAATAACGCGAGGTTTGATATGATTTGTTACATGTCCGTTTGAATAAATGTGAAGTCTCAGTTGCTATTAGGACGCCTAATGCAGTGAAAGTTGGTCACTGTCGTGCCAAAGAATTTTTCTTGTCAGAATCCATTTTGCACATACCTAAATCTACCATTCGTCCGTGCATTGAATACCATTGATATATCTGGGGTCTGCTGCTACCAATGTGCATTTAGAGATTCTTGGCAAGCTCTAGAGAAAGGTTTGCAATACAATCGTCCCGGACTAGAAACTTTCTCACCGAGGTGATGTGGCTTACATCTGTTTGTTCTACAAATATTTTCATGGCAACTTCTCAGGCGAGCTTCTTTTTGTTTTCTTTTTTTTTGTCTTGGTACCCCGACGACGTGAATTTAAGCGTGCTACTAGATTGGCAACTAGGTCCCACCGCTTTAGTGTTGAACAAGATAGATGCAACAGTCATTTCTACTCTAACAGTTTCTTTTCTTGCACTTCCCACCTGTGCAGCTCCCTTTCCGTTTCAAAAATTCAAATGCAATATCAATCATCGTCTTCGTGAACCATATTCCTATTTTGTCCTTTCCTCAATCCACACCATTTTTCTCATTCTCTCTCACTTTCACACCGCGTAACTCTTTAACTACTAGTGGCATTCTTGCCTTGCTTGAGGTGAAACGATATAAAAAGGGCTTCATAAAATACGCAGGCATATTTTGTTTTAAACGACATGAGTAAAGTAGTAAAAAAAAGGGACAGTATCGCTTTTTTTCTGTTTGCTTATCTATCCGTGACAAAATAGTTGTCACATAATTGCAAGAAGTCAGTCAGTTATGTGCCATGCATGATACACGCTTAGGCGATCATGTATCTTTCGATGCATGACTGACGAGGCAGATTGTTTTTTTTTAATAGAACCCGGTCTGTCTTGCAACTTAACCATAGCTGGGGGAAAAGATAAGGATTCATAAGTTGCATAAGGGTATTAGCACGTCAGTTAGTCAGTTATGTGACATGCGGGATACACGCTTATCCGATCATGTATCTTTTGATGCATGACTGACGAGGCAGATTTTTTTCCCGCAGTAAGTTGTCATTTCTTTCTGCAGTAGACCAGTTGACATCCAAGGCTATAGAACCCGGTCTGTCCTGCTATTTACCCATAGCTGTTGGGAGAAGAGGAGTCATACCTTTCCCAAGGGTCAATTAGTTATGTGTCATGCGTGATAAACGCTTAGGCGATCATCTATCTTTCGATGCATGAATGACGATGCAGTTTTTTTACCGCAGTATGTTGCTATTTCTTTCTGCAGTAGATAAGTTGCCATGTAAGGCTATAGAACTCGGTCTGTCTTGCAACTTACCCATAGCTGGAGGGAGAAGAAGAGGATTCATACCTTTCCCAAGGGTATTAGAACGTAAGTGAATGTAATGGATTCGACTGGAATTCGAACTCGGCTCTCCGATTCCTCGATCCGAGCCATTAACCCACTGTGCCTCACCTAATTGCAAGATAATACTACATAGTGAATAATGAGAAAAATATGTGATAATGTCAACATAAAACATCTAAAGTTAGCAGTCGTTGTGTCACCATAATATCGGAATTTTTTAAAAATTCTAAAAGATTAAAATAAGAGAAAGAAAAACCTGATTTTGAACCCCAGTTTCCTTGCGGTTATATTCAAAGACGGAGAGGACTATAAAGTGGTGGCCCGAAGACGATTAGCGTCAACACTGACAACTTTCCAGCAACTCATGCAGTCAAAGCCGGTCCCAGATGCAATGCCTTTGAAGCCTGTTCGTACGGCCGAGATGAGGTTGGCACATGTAGTCTGGGCCGCGCACGCCTTCTGAATACTATTGCTGGGGACTGCACCATGAATACGTGACGCCACTAATATATATATATATATATATATTGAACAATATATATATATATATATATATTTTTATATTTAGGCAGCAATCCTTCCTTTATGCATGTTTCATTAAGCTCAACCGTAGTACCTTCTCTGTCGTTTTTAATGAAACATGCATATATATATATATATATATATATATATATATATATATATATATATATATATATATATATATATATATATATGTATGTATACAATTATTTTTTAAAAATATGATTCCTTCGCTACATGAGAGTTCTCATGTTTCAAAAACGAGCCGATACCCTCAGCATAATTATTAAAATTAAATTGAATTAAGCCCTGTTTCATCCCCAAGCGAAAATAATTATAATTTACGCTCTACTTCTGTATATATATAT